GAGCGGAGGCCGAGGCCGAATTTTCGGAGCCCACATTGGAATACTATGACTATAGAAAGATTCATCATGATTATGGGGTTGTTTCATGGACATGATTCTATTGATGATAAAAAGTGAAAAATGAGATGCAAAATTAGATCATATTGCAATTTGAAAAGTCATATTGGATTATGGTTGATTAGGGGCTATAAATAGGCAATAATGGTCTTTGAATGATAATGATAAACGGGTCAAAGGTTGGTTCCCAACCGCCATCCATGGATTTCTATGGTCAAATGGGGGCCTAATGCATGGAAGCCATGCGGGTCTTGAAAGGACAAAAAATTATTACAAAGAGTTGATGGGTGCCTACAAGGGTTTACAGGTATTCATTAACTTAACAAGTGCCCGTTAAATTTTGAAATTTATCATTTTTTTGAATTTATTTTTTTTTTTTTAGCTTTGTAAAAATATAATTCATGGTCATAAACTCATAAGTACTTATAAAGATTGATGTAGTATTCCTAAGTGATATCTATGTGTACATAATCTATCCTCAACTACATATTTGGTGATAAATTGGCAAGCTGATGATTTGTGTTAGCTTTATAATTGCATTATTTTATGCTATGTCATCTCGAATGAAATGGTGACTAATCTTCATATGCTTAGTTCTAGAGTACTGAATAGAATTTTTGTTAAGTTTATCGTACTAGTGTTATCACATACAACCGGGACGTGATATAGTCTAAGTTCATAGTTCTCAAGTTGTTACCTAATCCACAGCAGCTATCCTACACAACTATCTGTAGTGGCATATTCTACCGTTGTAGTAGATAAACTAACGGAATTCTGCTTCCTATTAGTCTAAGAAATGAGAGAAGTTACTAAGAACTGACAAGTGCTTGTGGTTCTCAACAATCTACGCACCATATATAGTCATCATTGAAGTATCCCATAAGCTCAAATGAAACCTTATTTTTTGGATATCACAAACTTAGATTAGGTGAACCAATCAAGTATCTAAAATTTCTTTTTACTGCAGTTAAATGGGATGGGTAATTACAGGCATGCGCAATAGTGTTCATGTTGCTAGGGATGCATGCCACAGTAGGGGATGTGTGAGGCTAGGGTTTAGGAGATGAGAAAGGAGCGGTGTTGTGGGTGGGCAGGACTAGGATGGGTTAGTAGGAATTAGCACAATGTTTAAAGGTGTAACCAAATATACGTGTCACTCACAAAACATAAAGAACTTGGATCAGAACATGAAACAATGCAAAATCACTATAGCTAGGTAGTTTGAGTTATGTTCCCCTGGCCTTGTTTATTGGTTGAATTTTGGACTGATAATTTAAAAAATTGGCTTCATTTGACATGGCCCAACTTTTTCATTGATCAGGTCTTGGTTCTAATCACCCTCAAATCTACTTACGTTTCTTCATGAATAGGATAAAGCATCAAGGCTTTCACGATTTTGCCTATGTTGCTTATGTCTTTAGTAATGATTATTCAAACAAATTGTTATCTACTTGAAATGTTAACAGCTTTTTCCAACTTATCACATTTATTGCATGTTTAAAGTTTGATGGTAACGGTTTCTTTGGCTTAAAATGTACTTGAGCTGCATCCCTTGTTTCTGGTGCTTATTCAACTAGAATATCTTGCTTGGAAAACTATTTATACTTTTGCTCGTTGCTTATGTGGGGTAACATTTATACTTTCTACAATCACTCTATCTCATTTCCAACATTGTCTTTGCAGTACACCCCCGCTATTGATATGTGGAGTATAGGGTGCATCTTTGCTGAAATGATAACAGGAAAGCCACTGTTTCCTGGGAAGAATGTGGTTCATCAGTTGGATCTCATGACTGATCTTCTAGGCACTCCTACTCCTGAAACCATCACAAAGGTTTTTCCTTTGTTCATCTCCTTCCCTAAAAGGGCTGCATTACACTCATGCAAATTATATGATTATCTCCTTCAGTTATATATTTGTTAACTGTAACTGTTACCTTGCCTTTGGATTTGTAGTGCTTTCCTATTATACCTTGCAGATGTCTCCTCAGCATACTACAACTGATTGCAGCTTTTCTCTGTGCTCTAATGGGTCTCTACTTATCATTGCAAATATGATGGAGTTTTTTCTTTTTCTCGGGAAAGCAGCATTTCGTGGTGTTGCATGTGATATTATTTAATAAATTATTAGTTTTTTTACTCCATTTTTTTTTTTTTTATTTGCATGCCAAAACATGCCTAGCTAGATTATTGCTTGCAGTATGCTATTTTTAGATGATTAAATTTGAATATGCTTACTCAAAAAGAAGATTAATCGCAACAAGTTCATTATCCTCAAGCTATGGTCATCTCTGGTTTTTTGTAAGTTATTCAACTAGTTGGATGTCTGTCAATGCAAAGATTTGGTTAACTTAGGGAGATGTTAAAATAATGAATGAACATCTCCTGAAATTAAGACCAAACAATTTATGGCAAAATGCATTTTCCATGAGCTGTATATGCTGACGCCCAATTCGTGTTAGTAATTTTAATGTTCCCTATTCTTTTTGGGTCCACAGATACGAAATGAAAAGGCTAGAAGATATCTAAGTAGCATGCGTAAAAAACATCCACTTCCCTTCTCAGAGAAATTCCCTAACGTTGATCCCTTGGCTCTTCATCTACTCGAACGTCTGCTTGCTTTTGATCCTCAAGATCGTCCCACTGCTGAGGAGGTAAGGTTTGAAGGCTGAAACTGCTGAGCTTTTGAATTAATTTGAAGTGTTAGATCATCAGCCATCAGTAGTTAATTGTCTTGTTAATTTTCCCTTTTTTTCCATGTTTCAGGCACTAGCTGAACCATATTTCGATGGATTGGCAAATGTAGAGCATGAACCTTCAACGCAACCAATCTCAAAACTTGAGTTTGAATTTGAAAGGAAGAAACTGACAAAAGATGATGTGCGAGAGCTAATTTATCGTGAGGTGAAGGAACCAAGACTAATCTTACATTGATCATTGACATCCTAAATACTATATTTTTCATACTGATTAAAAAAGTTTTAAAGCCAACAGATTTTAGAGTATCATCCCCAAATGCTTCGAGAATATCTACATGGTGGAGGCCAGACTAGCTTCATGTATCCAAGGCAAGCATTTCCTTTATTCTCATTATCCAATCTGAACAAGGATTATGTTTTTCGCAGCATGAAATACAAATTGGTGCTGGCTAATTCTTCCTATACATGAATAGCAAGATATGTTTTTTTGCACTTGAAATATTGATAATGTAAAAATGAAGTCTTCTATTATCCTTCTCAATAGGAAATATGTTCAATTAAAGTTTGTCCATAGGTAACACCACTAATTTATTAAAAATATATATAGAAAAAAAGAGAAACGAAGATAGATTAGAGGGAGAAGCTATAGAATTTCACTAACAAAACTAATGTGCAGCTCATCTTCAAAACCCTTATACGTAGGTTTAGGTCGAGGCACATCACTACAAGAAATACTACTTCTAAATAATATAAGTTATATAGCAAGGCTTGATAGATAGCTTGTAGCTTTCTAATTATATAGAGAACTTGTGATGAATTAAAAGCCGAGAATGAATTCAAGTGAAGTTTTTGACTTCATCCGGATCGGACTAGTTCTAATTAAGTCTACATTGACTTTGCCATGGGTTGGTAAGTAGCTTTGCAGTATTGGTGACTTCATTTGGTAAGTTTGGTTTGTAGCCTAGTAATTTTGAGTATTTTGGGGCCAAATAGACATTGGCCTAATACAAAGGTAAATGTGCCGAATAGAATTGACTACTTAAGATCTGCAACAAATTCATCTTGCTCTTGGACGACTTCAAACTGATGGCGAATTAACTCCCTTTACTTGCCGACTAATATTGAACATAGTTCATTATATGATCTATGAGGCTTGTTAAACCTGGCTTAGACGATATGGGGTGTACACCCACCACATGGCATGCTCACACCATTCATGCTAAAAGGCCATCGTGAGTTCCCATACAGAAATGCATTAGTTAATGCAGGTGCATTCATACATAAACGATCATGCTAAATTTTCCGCATATAAAATGAGTGCAAAAGTGGAATAATCTAAGCTATCAGGAGATGCTGCAAATTAGAAAAAGTGTGATTTCTGCTGTTAACCACCTGACTGGTTGATATTTTTTTTTGGCAGTGGAGTTGACCGGTTTAAGCGCCAGTTTGCGCATCTTGAAGAACATGTCAAGGGAGAAAGAACCACCCCAGTTCTGCGGCAGAACACTTCTTTGCCCAGGTAGTAAATCACAGATAGATAATGGAAGAAGAAGTAGCCTTATTTTAACCAAGCTCTTTATTTTTATTTGGTTTGTGGCTTGTCTCCTAACTTTGTTGATCTCTAGGGAGAGGGTCTTGCCCGCTAAAGAAGAAAAAGTTGATGGAGAGAATGATGGTGAAAGACGGATCACAGCCGGAGATTCCCAATTAACCAATAATAGCCCTTCCAAGTCACAAGCTGAGGGTTCAGGAGATTCTGTGGCTAGTGAAAATGAGCTAAATAGATCAAATCTTAGTGCTCGTAGCTTATTGAAGAGTGACAGCATCAGTGCATCCCAATGTACTAGCGTGAAACCAAGAAGAGATGTAGCTGTAAGCATGCATTTCACTAATTGAATTTTTTATGTTGCATTTCGTTTGTCTTCTTTGTATCGATCAAAAGATGCTTTAGGCTAAATTATATTCATTACGTGAAGACAAATAGTTGGTCGGAGCAGTTAATACCATACAAGTCCTGCTAGATTGCACTATAGGCTTTTTGTTGGGATTTTAGATTGCCAATCGCCTAAAATACTATTTACCGAATTTTGCTTTTAGGAAATGTTTCTTTTTTTTTTTTTTTTTTTTTTTTTTTTTTTTTTGCGAATTGCTTATCTTCTGGTTTATTTAATTTAGATGAACTGATTTTGAACTTGCCAAATACAATAAATGGATTAAACAAGCCAAATTGCAGGATCCATAACCTGTTGAGAAGAGTTACCTCAAGTGCTTCAACAAGTGCTATGGTGCAAGCATCTATCGACTGGTAAGTACGAAGACATATGTCCTAAATGATTTTGTTTATTAGTCCTGCCTCTGAAGGAAAAGCAGTTCTTCCTTGATCTTTAGGAAAGATCTCCATGATTACGAAAAATATCAGTTTTTGTTCCACTTATTGCTTATGTGGTCTAAATGATAATTTTATTACACAGTTTTCTAGGTCGTTGAGTGATTTTCAAGTGAGATGAGTCTTTTGTTGCAATCATGAAAACTTTTATTACAAAAGTTACAGTTCGCTTAATTTGATGATTGACACTTTTTCCTGCTATTAAGTTTTCTATCTCTAAATTGTCACACTGTGATCTCCCTTCTTGGAGTATCAAAGGAAAAAGCTTCTAATAATAAAAATACTTGGTGGTGGAATCTAATTAAAAATTGGTTTAATTTCAAATATGTAAAAAAAGATTAAAAATAAGAACATTTGTTATAAAAATTGGTCTAATTTTAAAAATTTTGATAATTGGGAAAGATATAAAGAGGCTCGTAAGGAATCTAAGAAAGCAATATACGATGCAAAGACCTTAGCTTTTAGTGATTTATATAATAGATTAGATATTAAGGAGGGAGAAAGATATATGTGTAAGTTAGCCAACAAAGAGATAGGAGTAGTAAGGATTTAGTTCAAGTTAAGTATATTAAGGATGAAGATCAAAAAAATACTTTTCTTAGACTATGATATTCAACAAAGGTGGATGAGATATTTTGCTAAATTTTTTAATGAAGATTGTGAAAATAAAATTGACTTTAGTAACCTTAGCACCCGAAATGAAAATAAAGATTTTTGTTTTTATCGGCGTATTAGTAAAACCGAAGTTAGAGAGGCTTTAAAGAAAATGAAGGGTGAAAAAGCTGTTGGACCTAATGATATTCCAATAGAGATGTGGAAATGCTTAGGAGATGAATGAATTTTTTAGCTTGCTAAACTTTTTAATACTATTTTGAAGACTAAAAAGATGTCAGATGAGTGGAGAATGAGTGTGTTAATTCTTATTTTTAAGAATAAAGTTGATGCACAAGATTGTGTAATTATAGAGGAATAAAGTTAATGTGTCATAGTTTAAAACTATGGGAGCGAATTATGGAGCATAGGTTGCGACGTGATACTAATGTTTCTCAAAATCAATTTGTATTCATGCCGGGTAGGTTGACTATGGAAGCTATAAATTTATTAAGAGGTTTGATGGAAAAATATAGAGAAAATAAGGAGGATCTACATATGATATTTATTGATTTAGAAAAAACATATGATAAAGTTTTAAGAGAAGTGCTATGAAGAGTTCTTGAAAAGAAAGGAGTTAATAATGCTTATATTCAAATCATTAAAGGTATGTATGCAGGAGCTATTACTTATGTTCAAACACAAGGTTGTTTGACCAAGTATTTTCCTATTTCAGTTGGGTTACATCAAGTATCAGCCTTAAGCCTATATCTTTTTGCTTTTATTCATGATTGTTCTCGCTAGACATTTGCAAGTGGATGTACCTTGGTGTATGTTTTTTGCTGATGATATTCTTCTTGTTGATAAGACTAGAGAGGGAGTTGAAGGTAAACTTGAATTATTGAGGTCAACTTAGAGTTTAAAGGTTTTTGCTTGACTAGATCTAAAACGGAATATATGGAGTATAATTTTAGTAGTAATAGACCTAGTGAGAGGATTGTGACTTTGGGCGATCAAGTCATTAATAAGAGTACACGTTTTAGATATCTTGGATCTATTGTTCAGAGTGATGGTAAAATAGATGTGGATATTATCAGCAGAATTCAAGTTGGATGGTTGAAGTGGAGAAATGCATCGAGCTTGTTGTGTGATAGAAAAGCACCCCTCAAACTTAAGCGAAAATTCTATAAGATGATGGTGAGGCCTGCAATGTTTTATGGTGTCGAATGTTGGCCATTAAAAGAGAAGCATAATACCAAATTAAGCGTGGCAGAGATGTGGATGCTCAGGTGGATGAGTGGCTTTATCCTTAGAGATATGATACGAAATGAGCATATACGTGAAAAGGTTGGAGTTGCTCTAGTAGAAGATAAGATTAGAGAGAGTCGCCATAGATGGTTTGGTCACATAAAACGGCTGTCTTCCGATGACCCGATTAGGAGAGTAGAGGTATTAGATTTGACTTATGTTAAGAAAGGTAGAGGCAGACCTAAAAAGATTTGGCTAGAAAATATTAGGAATGACCTTTCTTTATTAGATTTAAACGAGAATTTGACTTTTAATAGGACACAATGGAGAAAAATGATTCATGTGGCCGACCCCACGTAGTGGGATAAAGGCTTCTTGTTGTTGTTGTTGTTGTTGTTGTATGATCTCTCCCTTCTTGTTTTTCCTGAATTTTTAAAATTTAGTAATGCCTGGCTTCTATCTTCTTGCCTTCATTTGCTACCATAGAACTAAAACTTTTTTCCTTCACACTCTCTCTCTTGAGTTAAGTCGTTTATTTCTTATGATTTGTCTTTTTTAAGAAGTTTTCTTTTTTTTTCTCTTTTCTTTGTTGGAGAAACAATAAGCTCCGGAAGTTTTTCCTAAAATCATTATTTATACCTCATTTCTGTAAGTTTCAATTATGGACATGGATATCATTTGGCTAGTTTATTTACAGGAGAAATCTGTTCAAAGCATCTGAAAGCACCTGGATGCAGTGGTTTATGGTATTTTTCTGATGATGCTTTCACTATCACCTGCAATTTCAGATGCCAGCCATATTTTATTGCCTAAAACACATGGAAGACCTGTGATGTCTTCATCTGCATTTACTGTTAACATCTTCCTTTTAGTCTGGCCGGAAGCCCTAAACGACCAGAACTAAGCACTTTTTCCAGATTTTCATACTAAAAACCTTTTTATTAACTTTTCCAGACTCTTAATGCACGTAATGATGAGAGCTATTGCTAATGTTAAAATGGAATTATTTTGTCCAGCTTTGGATTCCAAAAGCTTCTTTATTTCTGTTTTTTATGTTGTTAAATTTGCCATGGACTGTTGCTGTCGTTTGCTGTTTTCCTCTAATTTTGGCAGTAGAAAATTTTTTTTGGGACATTTAGGTCAATTAAGACAAACACACATCACATATACAAAAACTCGAATCTAAGACTTCTTAAAGCTCTCAACCAACAAGCCACGTTGAGTTGTGTTGGCGGTAGAATCAACCACATCAAAATGTTTTGGGCTAGTTGAGAATCTAACTTGAAGATAGGTTCAAAGTCCTAATGGTTTTATTTATTATTATTCAGATTTAGCTTTGATCAAATATACTGTGATGGTTACCTAAAAGCTCTGAAAATATAATCAGTTTTAGAATTGTAATGAACTGGGCCTTTCGCTGCAATCAAGATTACGTTAGTCCATGATCTTTTAATTATGATTTTTGCTTCGTTTGAGACGACTTTCTTGCTGCTTTTTAAAAACAGTTTTTAAGTATAAACATTTTAATATTTAAACTAGAAGGTTGATAGGCCGCCGGCCCAGGAGGGGCCGGCTGGACCGGTCCAACCTGGACAAGTCCTTGTCTACACTCGGCGGGCCCCACAGGGGGCGGAAAACAGAGAGAAAAGGAGGGGGCGCAAGCCCCAAGTTGGCCATGCTTGGATTAATTCAAATTTAGGAGGAAAATTTTGAATGAAGGGGCAGTTTAGGAAGTTTGTAATTGTCCTTTGATGTTAATTAGGAGCTTAGGCGGTAATTGAGGGATATCTTAAATTTGAATGTGATTTGAGATCTAGGGTTCGTACTTGGGCTCTAGGCTACGACTAGAGAATCAGAGAGTTGTTTCTTCCTCTCAAATCGAAGAAACGTGTATCTTTTTGTTGTTTTCTCACATCTATTAGTGAATTCCTTTGTTTTTCTCCAAGTTTCTCGACGTTTCTACCAAACCTGCTGTGTTTGGGCTGTTTAACTGCTGTAAACAACAGATTTCTCTCTGCTTTCTTATTAATTTCGATTAGGTTTGCTTGCGAACTCAAGTATTACCCTAGGGTTATTTGCGAACTCAAGTATTTCCTATCAAATTGGTAGCAAAGCATCGAGTTGGGACCATCGACGGCTGAAATTCTGAAATTTCAGCGGATTTTTGACAACCGGAAGGAGATCTTTGTGATTCTTAGGAAGAGAGATGACCGGGAAGAAGGTAGAAGTCTTGGAAGGTGAGATCGGTCAATTAAAATCAGATTTGAAGGAAAAATTCTTTGATTTTCAAAATCAAATCACCTCCAACAATGAGAGAATATAAGGGAAATTCACGGTGATGAAAGAGATGTTGAAGAAACTGTTGGAGTTGAAGACCAATCCTATGACATCAGAAGCAAGAGAAACCACTGGAGGCCATGGCGTAGGAGGGAATCTGAACCCGTTTAGGGGGAGGAAAAATCCGGAAGTGTGGATCATTGAGCGAGAGGACGACATGCCACTTATAGAGCCACTTTCTAGAGAGGAGATAAGCTTGGGAAATGACCAGAGGGGTGCTGATTTCATCCGGAGAAGGGAATAATTTCATCACCGAGGTGCTGATTTTGAAGGGAGAAGAGGTGAATACGATGAAGGAGTCGGGTATTATCGCCAGAGGGAAGATCGTGACAGTTGGGGAGCACCTCCTTTTCGAGGAATGGGAGGGTATAGAGGATTCAGGGGAAATGGGGGAGACCCACGGGTGAGGAAGCTGAAGATGCCCGTCTTTGAGGGTGAAGACGGCCATAGCTGGATCTACAAGGTGGAGCGTTACTTTGCTGTCAATGGGCTGACGGAGGAAGAGAAGCTTATGGCGGTGGGATTGTGTTTGGAAGGAAAAGCCTTCTCATGGTATCAGTGGCGTGATAGGAGGGAACCCATCCAGAGCTGGAGAGAGTTTAAATATTGCTTATTAGAGCGTTTTCGAGCCGATGGAGGAGGAGACTTCTATGAGCAATTCTTTGCCTTGACTCTGGAGGGGACTATGGTAGATTATCAGGATAGGTTTGAGTACTTGGCTAGCAGATTGGATCATATTTCAGAGTCAGTCCTGGAAGGAAGCTTCATGAAGGGGCTTAAACCTGAGATACGGATGACAGTCAAAGTGCTGGAGCTGGGAAACCTAGGGAAGACCATAGAGCTGGCACAGTTGGTAGAAGATAAGAAGAAATCAGAAAGAGGGGCTCGAGGAAACTATTCGAGGGGATCATACAGGATGATGGCTACCTTCTTGCCTTCAAAAGGGGTAGCACCTGTGACTCTGAAGGAAGAGCTAAAGGAGAAAACTGGAGGAGGGGGAAATGCGGGACAATTAAAAAAACTGACAGAAAAGGAGATGCAGGAGAAGAGAACAAAGGCAGTACATGCTAGGGCATAGGTGCAAGGACCGAACTCTTCAGGTTCTCCTTGTCTGTGAAGATGAGGAAGACGAGGAGGAGGTGGGAGCTGGTCTAAAGAGGAGGAGGAGAAGTTGTATCTGGATGTGGCAGAAGTCTCTCTGAACTCTGTAGTGTGATTCACTCCGAGTCACACTATGAAAGTGAAAGGAGAGATAGCTGACCGTGAGGTGGCAGTGTTGATAGATAGTGGGGAAACCCATAATTTCATTTCTGCCCGGATCATTGAGCTGCTTGGGACGGAGTTATCGATTCAATCCTCCGAATCCGACAATGGATGGCAAGTGTTTCATCCCTCGCATGACAATCAAGCTCTGCGACAAAGATTTTGTGGATACATGAGGCTATGAGGTGATGATGGGCATGGCACGGGAAAGGTTTAAATGGGAAGAGGAGTTTGTAGAGGGGTAGTGCTGAAGATTCAGGGGATCCAAGTGAGGGAGGAATTCCTTCCCTTGGAATTAGGGAGTACTGATGTCATCCTAGGGATGAAGTGGCTGCAAACATTGGGGGAGACCAAGATTAATTGGGGTACATTGAGGATGGAAATGGTGATGGGGGGATGAGGACGATTCAGGGTGATGCTGAGCTGACCAAGGCTGGGGTTTCTCTTAAATCCCTAATCAGGACAATTTAGGAGGGAGGAGGCTATTTGGTGGAGTTGCATCGCCTGGAAGAGGTCAGACTAGAGGAAGAAGGCAACATTCCGTCTTCAGTGCAGCCTCTTATATACCAGTTCAACAAGGTTTTTCAACCTCCACTGGGTTTGCCACCTCAGAGGAAGTTGGAGCACACCATTACCTTGAAAAAAGGGGAGACACCGATCAGCGTCCACCCCTACCGTTACCCACAGATTCAGAAAGATGAGATTGAGAAGTTGATCTAGGAAATACTGGAGGCGGGGATCATCCGAGCAAGTGTTAGCCCTTTTTCTAGTTAAGTCCTCCTAGTCAAAAAAGAAGGATGGGAGTTGGAGATTTTGTGTGGATTACAGGCCTCTGAATAAGGGCACTGTACCAAACAAGTTTCCAATTCTGGTGATTGATGAGCTATTGGACGAGCTATACGGGGCAGTGGTGTTTTTCAAGTTGGACTTAAAATCTGGATACCACTAGATCAGAATGAGGGAGCAGATGTTCCAAAGACAGCCTTCATGACACATGAAGCGGCACCATTGCGTGGCCTTTGACTGAGCAGTTGAAGAAAGACAACTTTTCCTGGGGAGATGAAGCGACCCAGGCCTTCGAGATGTTAAAGAAAGCCATGACCATTGTTCTAGCTCTTCCAGACTTCAACCAGGCCTTTGTAGTAGAGACTGATGCATCAGGATATGAGTTGGGGCAGTGTTGATGCAAAATCACAAGCCTATAACATACTTCAGTCAAGTGCTATCAACCAGTGCAAGATTGAAGTTAGTGTACGAGAGGGAGCTGATGGCCATTGTCTTGTCCATTCAGATGTGGCGCCCCTATCTTTTGGGCCGACACTTCATCGTACGAACTGATCAGAGGAGCTTAAAGTACCTCTTGATGCAAATGATGGTGACTGAGGAGCATCAGTGATGACTATCCAGACTATTGGGCTATGATTTCGAGATTCAGTACATGTCAGGTTTGGAAAATAAAATCGCTGACGCTCTATCTAGATGTGTGGGGGAGCTCCAGGAATTAGCTTTGTATGTACCCTTGATGGTCGACTAGGGGGGCCATCAAGGAAGAAAGCATGATGGATGAAGAATTGAGAATGATCAGGGAAGATTTGATGAAGAATGGGAGTAACCATTCTGGTTACCATATTGAGGGGGAGAGACTGTTGTACCAAGGGAGGTTTGTGATGCCACGAACTTCTATACATATCCCCCATTTGTTACAGGAGTTCTATGGCTGCGCGGTGGGGGGTCATTCAGGGGTATAAAAGACATATAGAAGGCTGACATCTGAGCTTTACTGGAAAGGGATGTATAAAGATGTAGAAGAGATGGTGGTCATGTGTGAAGTGTGCTAGAGGAACAAATACATGGCTATGGCTCTCGGAGGACTACTACAAGCATTTGCACTTCCAAACAGAGTATGGGAGGAAGTGTCCATGGACTTCATCGACATCTTACCACGATCAGAAGGATACACTGTCATCATGGTGGTGGTGGACAGACTTAGTAAGTATGCACACTTCATCCTCTTGCAACATCCCTACACCGCAGTGTTAGTGGCAGCAGCATTTATCAGAGAGGTTGTTAAACTGCATGGGATCCCTGAATCGATAGTGTCGGATCGAGACAAGGTGTTCCTCAGTCAGTTTTGGAGGGAGCTATTCTGATTACAGGGCACTATCCTCGAGAAGCACCGCCTATCATCCACAGATAGACGGGCAGACGGAGGTGGTAAACTTAAGTTTGGAGACATATTTGAGGTGTTTTGTGTCAGAGCCACCGTGGATGTGGGCAAAGTGGCTGCATTGGGCTGAGTATTGGTACAATACCTCGTACCATTTCGCTTCCTAGATGACCCCATTCAAAGTGTTGTATGGAAGGGACCTTCCACTCCTAGTGCACTACGGGAAAGGTAGTGCACCCATTTCGTCAGTTGAGCAGTACCTAGAGGAAAGGG